TATCACACAACTACCCCTCTCCGTATATGTGTGTAAACCATGTCCCTGATGAGGAATGTGTCCGCAGGCTGAGGGTGGTTGTCTGCATTAACAGTCAGGAGGTAGTCGTAGGCTTGAGGTAGTCGTTGTCGGGGATAAGAGTTGCCTGCATGGCTTCAGAGCCGGCAAACGTGCGGTCCAGCGCACGAAGATGTTAATAAAATGTATTTAATGTGAGCTTAGAGAACGTCAGGGGGGACAGCGTTCGGAGACTGTCCCCAAACATAAAGTAGACTAAGTGAAAATACGCGAATGTGACTGTTAAGTGATTGATGTGAATCGGGCCCGATGTATGGACATGTGATGTACACTGGTTGCGCCGTGGTTAAAGCTAAGTCTAGAATAAGTTGCATGTTTAGAATAAGAAATGTTTTAGAATAAGTAATCGTTCTGTGTAAATATAGATTAGTTAATTAAGTAACGAACAAACGCCTTTTCATTAGTAGTTTTAAAGTAATCAGTTCCTTACAGGATCGCGACGTCACGGTAAGGTTGTAGAAATACCGCGAATGTAACAACAATAGTAAATTAGAGCATGAATAAGGTAATAAGTGACGAATAAAAAGGGAATTAATTATAAGTTTAAAAATAAATTATATATATACGAGTATCTATACGAGTATCGTATATATATATATTAGGGTGGTCCTTAAAATGGTCATTTTCGAATTTCCTTGCTCCCAGGGGCTCAAATGGTTCCAAATAGATAAAAAACAATTCTCTGAAAGTTTTAGCTCTTAATATTATAGTTTAGATAGAGCGCAATTCAATCAAAGTTTTGTATGGAAATAGCATGGAAAAATTTTCAAGAATTTTAAAAATGTTTTTTAGATGTAATTTAGCAAACAATAAATAAAACTCATTCATTTGTCGCTAAGTTATACCTAAAACATTTTTTTTTAATTTTCAAAATTTTTCCATGCTCTTTCTATACGAAGTTTGATTGAATTGCGCGCTATCTAAACGTTAATATTAAGAGCTAAAACTTTCAGAGAATTGTTTTTTATCAATTTGGAACCATTTGAGACCCTGGGAGCAAGGAAATTCGAAAATGACCATTTTAAGGACCACCCTAATATATATATATATATATATATATATATATATATATATATATATATATATGCTAGCTGACCCGACAAACTTTTAGCTACAGAAAATATTTTTAGAAAATCGTATAAATTTAAGCTTTTTTATAAGCTCAAAAAATCCTGATCGAATTTCAATTAAAAACGTTCACAAAAAAGGCGATAATAGTTAATTGATCGAATACCGAGCTATATAAAAATGATTGGACTACTAAAATGACTATTATAAAATCATGTAAATTTGGAGTTGTTTTTGCATAAAAAATAAAATAAAGAACAAAATTTTAAAAAATTGTTATTATACAAGCAATGATAAAAATAAATTGCTTTTTCTAATAAAATTGAAGCTTTTTCATAAACTCTGATAAAAGTCTGATCTAAAATTAAGTAAAATATTTATTGACTGAGTGCGGGAATAATGTAATTGCAACAAAATTATAAAATTGCCGCAAGAAAAGAACAAAAATATAAAATTGAACAAAGTATATGTTTTATATAATAAGTGTGTTTATAAATATTGATATAAAATGAAAACAAATAATATTTAGAAGAAAAACAATTTTACTTGAAAATTTTAATAAAAAAATGGGCACTGCATTTTTTATATAAGATGATCAATATCAGCCGTTTTTTTAGATTTTATTCTTTATTTTAACTTTTTTAATGCAGAAAGTAGCAACGCGTATGCAGCTTTGATATGTTTTACTCAGTTATGATAGGTGCTAATTTTATATGAATTTTATGGTTGAAATTAACACAGGTCTACAAAAAAGAGCTGTCTGAATTGGGTGTGTGACACATGTCTTCCAATGTACATTTTACCGCTGAAGATAAATCTATAGTCAAAATTGGGGCACAAAATATTGAAAAACATTAAAAAACGAGCACAATCTTCGATCTAGATTTTTTTCTGAATAAATTATTTATTATCCAGCGACTTTTCTTTTGTAGACCTGTGTAATTGTTCGCACACATACGTACTTCAAAAAAAAAATTGAATCAAAATTTGATTTGCGTTTTTATTTTTCAAAAGCAAAAATTTCTCAGGGCTGACATAAGATTTGTAAAAAAATTCGATGTTTAGTGAAAAAATGCATTTTTTAAATCTGTATTATTTTGCATGTTAAATGGCTAAGAAAACATGTACATGAAAACAGCTGTCTTGTTAGCTTGAACATTTGGAATCACAATTAAAATTTGTTCACATTTTCTTTTTTTTAATATGAAAAGTGAAACACAAGGTTCTGCAAAAGATATTATTCTTTATTACCAAAATGACGAAAGAACTATAATTATTATTTCATATCCAAAAACAATCGTTATTCGCTATTTGAGTCGTCTACTTCTTGAAGCATTGCATCATAGTATTGAAAATCGACATTTTCACAAACTTAATTGCCAGTATATCTTTAAATTTACGATGATTTAACCCTCGCGACTTTATAAGATTTATTTATTTAATTATTTTAAATTTAGAAATGCGTTATTGCTATGTTCTCGGACAAGTTCTCAATTTTTTTGCCATATTGAAGCTGGTTAAACAATATTTAAATAAATTAATATTTATATTATTAGGAAATGCCATTTCTTCAAACAACAGTTTTTAGCAGAATTTGACTGACGACAAAATTAGTTTTTACAGCCGTATTTGATAAAATATCTAGAAAATAATTTGTTGTTGAGAAATGTTTGGCGGGCCGCAGAAAAACACTCGGCGGGTCGCATGCGGCCCGCGGGCCGCGCGTTGCTCATCATGAGAGTTAGTTTGGGAAGTTTTTTTTTTATATACCAATATAAAGCTTCGGTGTAAAATCTCTAGTTTAATATAGAATCAATGTGCAATTAAAACTACAATAAGATATTAAGATTTATTAATATTAAATTTAATATTCTACTTCAGAAACCATAATTCGAGTGTTCTCTTTTAATTTGTTATATTATCTTATATTAATAGAACACGTAATATACTGTTTTGTAATACCCGCATTCGGTATTTTAATCATTTGAAGTGACCTCAAATCTATATAATACATAAATATTTTATGAGAGTAATTATTGTGATTTTACACATTTTGTTGATTAAAGTTTTAAGTAAAATTCTAGATATAAAATTCTGGAATCTTATTGTTAGTCCTTTTAAAGATCTATATATCGTGTAAAATTATATAATATATTATATAAACGAACAAAATATATTATTGCTGTATAGTCAGGGCCGGATTCAGAAATTTGGCGCCCCGGGGCACTGACAAAAAAGCCGCTCCATTCCTGAAGTTTTACGAACTTTCGAACTTTTTTTAAAGCAATCGCGCTGCTTCAGCTGCGTAGAGACAAAATATAGAAGCGCGTAAGCGCGGCGTCGCAGTCTAACCGATAAACAATGTTGTAGAACGCATATAAATGTAAACAAAATTTATACTTATTATTATAATATCTTTGAAATATCTGATAATTTAAAGTGCATATGTCTTATGATCACTTTTTTACGCCAAATGTTTCTTTTTCAATTTTTTATATTGGATCATCGAAACCGCTAAACCTGCCCCCCACAAATTTAAGCAGTTATTTATTCTGTAAATTTTTTTGAATGATATTGAACGCTTTTTTTCTCAAAAACTGAATTATCATTTTTGGCATTTTGGCCCGTATCTTCAAAATAGCAGGACCTGCCTTGGCCAATAACTAATCAGCACGTCTCCTTATCAATAGAAATTGAATCATTTAAATCGGTTTATCCGTGTTATTGAAATCGACTTGAATAATTAAAAAATATTAGATTTATATTGAAGGGGAGACGTGCTGATTAGGTTTTGGCACAGGCAATTACGAAAAATGGTAATTTTCGTAATTATTGATATTTCTTCTCTGAAACAGCTACGCAGCGCGATTGCTTTGCAAAAAGTTCATAATTTTCGAAAAATTTCAAAACACAAAAAATGTGTTTTAAAAGTCTTTTATTTCATTTTTAAAAAAATTTTAAAGCACTTTATAAAATGTAATTTTCAGTACGGGATGTTTCAGTAATTTGTCTTAAGGAACAATGGCATGAGTGACTAGTTTAAATTTTTTTCGACGTGCACAAATTCGTCATTTTAAGAGGGCTCGAGAACTGAAAAATATATTTTTCTTCAACTTTCAGCTTGTTTACGGATCTTTATATTAGCCAAATTGCCAAATTTGATAACTTATTAACCAATTTGAAAATTTACGTTCGGAGTGGGAGGCAATGCAAAATAATAAATTTAAGTTATCGACTATTTCAACCCAAATGTTGCATTGCAATCGTATTATGTTTTGTTAATTATATTTCTTGAAATAAAAAATGTTGTTAAAAAAAGTTGATTATATTGTATAGAATTTTTTTCTCACTATCCAAATTTTGCCGCCCCCCAAAATTTGCCGCCATGGGCAGTAGCCCCGATTGCCCCTACTGTGAATCCAGCAATGGGTATAGTACTCTTTTCGGATAATAACACCTCTCACTGATCGCCCACTTATAATGATAAAATCTTTTAGTAATTTATTAACTTTCAATAATTGATTGTAAATTTATGGTAATAAAAATAATCGAAAACAATTTTTAGAAATTCAAAATATTCCATTTTTATACATTTTTGCACTGTTCACCATTTTTAATCTTACCTAAATATCTAAACCTAAAAGTTTGAGCAAGTTCATTCAGACACACTGTTACTACTAGTATAAATTATTCAAACTTTTAAATAATATAATTGGAATATAGTAATCATTCATAACATAATATAATGGTTATGATACATATGTCTATTACTTTCATAAATTCAATGCATAAGCACATGTGGTCTACATAAACAATTGCAAACAAAGCGTTATTCCATTAATCGAATTACTTACCGACATCAAATCCCTTGACAACGTCAACTGGTGTCAATGCTGGTTTTAATGAGTCATGAGACAAATTTCCATTGTGCTCAAGTAGCGGTGGAGCAAATCGGTACACATGCTCGTTTACTGTTAGCAAACGTATGCATCCATGAAAACCTTCCGTCACAGGAAGTTTATCCAATAAACGTGTTGTGTTACCAACGCCGCCGATGAAAAGAGGTTCCCGAAAAGTTATTCGAGAGAATAAACCCTGAAATGCGAAAGAATAATAACGACTTAATGTAATAACGTATTTAGATAAGGTAAGGGTTTTATTTACTCTTTCAAGTTTATTATCATTTTTTTTTTAAATATACTTACCAGTTTTATATGAAAAAAGTAACAAAGTGAATAATGTAGGATAGGGCGGGGCTAGTTGAGCAAATTTTTACTTAAACGGATGTAGCTCCTGAATGAAAAGTCTCAATAAATTGCTATATGGCTTAATGGATTAGTTGTTTATCGCTTAACAAAAGTGTTAATACTATTTTTTGGTAATAAGTAAAATTTTAAAGCTACAATTGGTTTAAATGCAAAAAGTCAAGTATGTTCAATGTACCCCATAGGTGGGGTAAGTTGAGCACTAAGAAAGTATAGTGAAATTATAGGTTCAATGTCGATTAGTGATGAAATAAAATAAGTTTTTAATAACCAGTTCTATATTTATAGTCTTTATTGACAGAGAAAACGAAACTTATAGTAATTTTCTTTGAATAATTAACCAGGAATTATTTCACCATTATATTCAGTATTTTTGTTTAAAATCATTATTTCTTCATATTATTACTCATAGGCTTAGCTTAATTCTTGAAAATAATAATTAATTTTTGGAAGTTAATGATAATTGTCTTAGTGACAGAACAAGTTTAGCAACTATGCTCAACTAACCCCAACTAGGAATTTCAAAATAAAAGTGAGTTTATAAAAAAACCGTGAGAATTATACCCAGAATCTCTGTGTATATTAAAAGTACTATAATTATATGAAAGAATAACATTTACCTGATTGAAAATAAATAACATTTGACTAAACCAGACAAAAACTCGTGATGAATTACTTTTTTACTTTTTGGTCTCAAAATAAACAAAACGCCCGTGAGCCTCACTCATTTGTCCAGCGGCCACTAGCGATTGCGGGATGTTTATTTCTCCCAAACCTCTATCTTTCCGCCATATAATGCCTAAACGGACGGTGAATAGTTTTCGAGATATTTCGATTGCTCAACTTGCCCCTATGCTCAACTAGCCCCGCCCAACCCTACAATAACTTTCATTAATTATTTAATATAGAAATCAATTTCATATTATCTTTCTTAATTCTGAAAATTCATGAATGCATTCAGAAAGTGGATGCGCAAGAATGCAATTATTTTGGCAGTGTCTTGAGAACATTTACACTAATTCAGTATACTAGTTTAGTGTACCGCTATAGTGTTGCATCGTATTGTGCCTTAAGGCAAATTGCTGGAACTTGCCGTACAAAACATTTTTTTTTAAAAAAACTTTGACATTTTTTCAAAACTTTGAACAAATTAGATTTTTGAAATTTTTGAAAAAAAAAAGACTTGAAAAAATGATTTATGTTCCTTATTTTTTATTTTTATAAAAAGTTTGAACATTTTTACAAAGCAATCTCGCTGCATGGCTGATTTATATTATAAATATCGAAGTGCGTAAGCGCCGCGTCGTATTGTAACGTGTAAACATTAGTACGGATCCCATTTAAATAAACATAAAAATTGTACTTATTATAATCTTTATAAAATATCTGATAATATGATGTGCATATGTCTAATAATAATAATTATTTTTTACCTTTCCGTAGGGTAAGTTATAGTAATGGGGCGAAAATCGAAATTTTTTGCATATCTTCACGTTTCAGAGGTTTTGGCATACATATAAAAAAATTGATGTTTGTGTGTGCGTGCGCGCTTTTTGAACTATTCGACATTCCGTTTATGACGTACGGATAGCACAAACTTTTCATCGGCTTATGGACAAAGCAATGCGATACACAAGAATACTGCAAATTGGTCAACCCTTCGAGAGGCATTTTTGAACTAGTGAGGTGCATGGCATCGTGCCTTAAGGCAAATTGCTGGAACTTCCCGCAATTAAAAATCTTAGTACAAAACCCAAAATAATTTACACAAAATGTGTGCACATTATTAAAATCTCTATAAAATAACTGATAATTTTATGTATATATGTCCAATAAACATTTTTGACTAATAAATTTACATACATTTACATTTACATACATTTTTTAATTTATATTTATTGAGATTCCATAACCGCTGAACCTGCCTTCCCAAAAATTTAAGTAGTTCTTCATCTTGTCAATGCGAGTAAAATATTTTTTGAATTATTAAAATCGGACGCTCCGTTCTCCTAAAAACTGAGTTAACGTTTTTGGCACTATTTGCCCCGTATCTTCGGAACGGCCTGCCTCCTTATCAATTGAAAATTCAAAATAAAATTTCTAATTTGGCTTTCCTTCACTTGTCAATCCCTTGCAGACTAAGCACAGACCATACAAAATTATGCGAAGCGTAAAACCCATTTATAGAAATTTTGAATATTTACCGGCTATTCATTCCAGCAAATTGTGCAGATGCCGTTAAACAACAAGTTTTGCGGTAACGTGGTGAATAAGGCGGTATTGGAATGTACCTAGTAGAGATGGGCTTATTATATCCGAAGCCGGATCGACTCGGATTTGATTCCGCTTCATGGTGGAGTTATATCCGCTAAACAACTCCACGTCTCCGACAATTTTGAAACCGAAATACTCGAAACAAATGTGTTCTATAGTACGCTGTTCATGTATCTAAGGATTTGTCAAATCCCATTAATTATTTGAAATAAAAATTTATGAAAAATTATCAATAAAATAATTTTTCTAAAAAATTCACGAATAAATGACGGATTGTAAAATTTTTCGGTCGACCAGATGATCGACTCAGTGACTCGTATTTTTAGCAGTGTTGACCAAAGTAAAAACGCAAAACTTGAGAATCAAATTCAATTCAATGATTTCCTTTTGATGAAAAAATAATTGATTTTTCGGATTAATTTTATATAAAAATTATGTAGTAAACTTTGTAATAAAAGCAAAACATAATACTTCTGCTTTCAAAATTTTTCTTCTGCTATTTCCATTTGAGAATTAATATTATATCGCGTAGTTCGATTAGCATATTATTACTTTTACACAATTATATAATTGTGTAAAAGTAATAATATAATACTGAATATTTTTTACTGCTTAAATACTAATGATATCACTGATAAATTTTGTACTCTAAAGTGTTGTTATTTCAGGCTATGGAAAAACAAGATTAAATAAATGTATTTCGTTTCGTATATTTTTCGGTATTTATATTGCTTCGGTATGTTGATTGCCGTCATTTACGGCCAAAGATTGTCGTAGTTAGAAATATTACCCCTTACTATTCAATAAATTATACATTTGAGCTATTCACACTTGAATACGATTTCATTGTTCTGTATCTTTAAAGTAACATTTTTGTATTTTCTGGAGAATACACAATGGTATTTATTTTGATTTTTATACCTAAAAAAGGTCATAAAACTGCCTGCGAGACAAGAAAGTGACCGCTTCCTTCCTAAAGCAAAAACGACAAAAACACTAAATGCCTGTACAGTTAACAGATTTAATACCAGTTTAAGGAAGTCGGACATGACAAATCCTGTGAAACAACTCCACTCGGATTCACTCCGAGGGAGGAGTTGTATGGGAGTGATAACTCCGGAGTGAGGAGTTATCCGTTATACCCATCTCTAGTATCTAGATATAGAAAGGGCATTTAAAAATTGTAAGAAAAATTTAGCTGAAGCTACGTTACTCATGTATCAACGTCTAACGTTGGTTGCAGCAACAAATCATTAATGCAGGTGGCTATGCATAAATAAGCATAATGGGACCAACTTCTTAAAGAAAAAATATGCCATAAACGATAAAGAATATGCTGTGTGTGTTTGATAGGGTAGAACATTTGTCACATACACATACCACAATTCTATTACCAATTCGTCATAGCGGATGCATTAACTCGTATTAAGATACTCAAAAATGCAGCTGAGATTTTGAGGCGATTTTAAAAGAAAACATAGTGATGTAGATGCTCCAAGAGTGCTATTAAATTCCTGGTTTCTAGAAAAATATTTCCTGAACTCTAGAAAAATATTTTATTGAGAACGTAAAATTTTTTTATTGTGTTTCTGACTTTGTATACGAGTACATTACAGTATGACATTAGTCATACATACTTTTTATCAATCTACATAAAAATTTTATGTTATTGGATTGGATTTAAAAATACAGCACCATGCATTATAAAGATTATTCGACACATTGGTAGATACATGTTTAGAAGTATTTTGATTGTCTACAGAAATGTAGACCACAAAAACACAATGTAAACAATCGGCAAAAAATACTTTGAATTTCAAAGATTATATATGTCTATATAATGTGTTGCATATTTACTCAAATTTTTCTCGTGAAAATTCGATTACAAATCAAGTAATAACGGACGAGGGTTAAAAACTTTCACCACAAAATTCTAAGCGCGAATAGGTTTATAACCTCCAAATGCTTTTTAAAATTGAGCAAGTATCAAAATATGATAAATATGTGTGCGATTCGACATACATGTCACTAGTATTATAAGAGTAATTAATAGAGTTATTTGGGTGGCCACTCTAACCTGTGGCCCACGCCAGTCCACCCGCATCCTACATATAGACATAGTAATCATGCCGTTATCAAAAGGATTTTGTTGTTGTCTAATATGAATTGATCGTTTTTTTGTTGACCTAAAGCAGTCCCAAAAAACGACCAAGTGCAAGTGAGATACCAAAGAAATTTGCAAAACATCTACTTTTCAGTCACACGCACTATGCTGTGCGATGATGAAGAATTTATGATCTTGAAGATTCTTTTCGCAAACACTCATAAATTTAATTCATTTCATACATTTTATTTTATAAATTTCTAAAATACGTAGTGCCATAAGACTGAATGAAATTATTGTACAGAAGTGTTCGAGCCTCACAAATTTTATTAATCCATCTCTCTCTACCTGACATAATAAAATAATGTCCTACCCTACTGTAGGTACTAAGCTAGTTATAAGAAATTATTCATTCTGTACGTATACCTTGACCCGATAACATCTAATACAAT